AGGGCCGACGTGCGTTTCTCAGGCCGGCGCGGTCTGATACCTAATCTTTGACGACTTCACGTAACTATATTTAAAATATGATAAATTATGATAAAAGTGCTACAAATGCTTCAGACGCTTTTGCTTTCATTTGCTTCCATAAAACGGTCCATTAGCACTATTAATGTTGCCAACACTACGCAAGTGGATCAGTTTGCATTAAAATAGTCGGAATTGTGTTTACAAACATATATTTTGTTATCATGAATTCTGACGAGATAAAAGTTATATTAGCTTATGTTATTAAGACTTTTTTAGAACCACTATTTTATATTTATGAAGATAACGAAAACATTTCAGATCAAGTAATTGCTCAACATATCTCAAAAAATAAAAGACATTAATTTTTTAACTTAAATTTAAAATAAAATTATATGTAAATCATTATAGATCATTATTACTTTGGTTAGCCTTAACAGCATCCTCTTCAGAAACTTCTATATTATAAATTATTCCTTTATTATATTCTCCTTCCTAATTTTATAATTGGCATTTTATCTCTAAATATTCGATACAATATACAATAAAAATAATTTTGAAAAATTAGTACAATAACAGAACAAAACATGCATTACACGCAAAAATAAATCAGATCACCACACACTACTTACCATGATATATGCTTTCGTTCGTTAAGCTTTCCCGTGTTTTGTACATTCAAACTATACGCTTCAGAGTGCAGTCCACTTGCATGCCACAAATGTTTCGAAGCATTTTTTGATTGGTCAATTCATAGAATTCTTGATTGGTTAATCAAACGCTTCGTAGCTTTTGTAGCGCTAAACGGATTGTAGTCTCAATCATATTATCTCTCCATGCAGTAGCATTAGGAGCGAGGTTTTAATGTACTTCCTGTTGCGGCTACTGCGACCAGCGAGATAAAGCAGTCAAAGCATAAAGATGGCTGCTTCCATGGAAACTTGATTGATGCTGAAAAAAATAAAGCGTATAATATGAAATAATATAATGAAATAATATAATGAAATTATTATGATATTATATAATATTATGAAATTATTTAATAATAATAATAATATTTATTATTATTATTATTATTATTATTATTATTATTATTATTATTATTATTATTA